GCCTGCAAATACTCATCCGAGCGGCACAGCTCAGGTCCAATGAATAGAGCACCAGAGATGGTAGCAACCATGCGTAGAACCGTCTGGTAAACTACCACGGATGTCCAATCATCGCATGGCGGCAGCTCCTCGCGAATAGTACGTTCCGTCTCCGCCGAAAGCCGGGGGTTGATACGCACTTCAATATTCGGTTAAATTGGTCCATCCCAAAACAGTTCCAATGTATAAACTTACCTAGGCTACGGGTAAGGTCACCTCGAACGACGTTCATGACAAGAGTTGATACTTGTGGTCTACCGATACCGAGGCGATGGTGCTCGTTCGTCTACAATAAGTTAGTACCCAGAATTGTATCTCAAGATGGCTGGTATATCGTACAACATCGAAAGCTTTGTCGAGGCTTATAACATCATCCGGCAGATGCCTCACTTCCTCCATAAGTCTTCGAGGTAGGACAATACGGTCGCCTATCCAGCAAGATCAGCATTTTCCGATCGGTTAAGAAATGAGTCCTCTTCGTACCATCGAGAGTGGTCACCCTGAATGCCGTAGTAGATTTGAATAAGTCGTATCCCTTTTTGTAGAATTCCAAGCCCCGCGTCATGAACGCCTGTCGTCGCTTTGATGCACTTCCATACTCCAGTCCCACCAGCGGTAATGTACTGCTACCACCTCCAAGAAGCACGGTAGCGATGAATACTGAGGTAACGATAACAGCGACGGACGCAAGGACAGGTCCCCGCTCCTCGAGGAAACCTGCAGCCACATCCATCGGTTTTTTTTTTTTGGTGAACTCTGTCCGTGTAGATTGTGCTTAAAGAGGTCGACTACCAAAGCCGCCAACTTTGATGGGAGGACACTTAAGTAGCAGATGGGTCCTTTTTATTCTGAATCTGCAGCCCTTCGTTGATCTGCGCAGGGCAAGGGAAATAAATATAATTGGATGATGGAACCATGCATCTGTTTACCTAGCAGTACCTACATACACTAGATACGCGGAAAGGGTTTCATTACAATCCGGGACTGAGCTTGCCCGTTCCACTAAATTGCAAGGGAGACAGGGAGACAGGGAGACAGGGAGAGGATGTATAAGTGGTACCGATGATAGGGTACGAACCAATTATCTCCATCGCATTTAAACTCTTCGCATAGGAACGAATACGACTTCAAAACTGCCGTCTAATAGCTGCAGGGTATATTACCATGTCACCGTTTGCTATTGGCTCTCATTAAATGTACGGAATACATAGCCCTAAAGCCAATAAAGAAGAGAGAGATAGAGAGATAAATCCCTTGCATATTCCGTGCTACGTATACACAGCAGAATGCCAAACAACAAGATTAACCTAGTGCTTATTGAATACCGAAGTAGGCATTGCTTACCAGATGCCAACGCTCCATTGAATCGGCTAAGCAGACTAGGATGGTGGACATCTAGAATCATGATTATGGAAGCGAGGTAGTATCGTACAGGTCAGCGTCACTGATCGTCGCCGCAGGATCTACTATAGGTATACGGCAAGTGCAGAAGACAGTTGTTAGTGTTCTTGGATTATGATCCTATTCCATTAACAGGTAGGTAGCAATTCAGCTGAAGAATACGCCTATGAATGTCTTGATTTTAGGTCATAATTAAAGGCCCATAATTGTCAAGTCTACCATTGCACGAGCCACCGGATCAGCGGAGTAGGCCGGGTTAGCCTTGATTCAAGGTGCCCTAAAAATATCGTACCAAGCCAACGGTAGCCAAATCAGAGCGGGGACGGTGAAGGGAGTTCGCGAGCAATTTCAAATATTTGAATATTTGAATACTTAAAAACAAAATCGGAAGGGAGCAGGATTTGCCGACTCGAATTCATGTTGGAAGCTATGATTCGGGATTTTCCAAATTTGTACATTATAATGCCGCGTAGAGTTACCCTAATTTGGTCATTTTTCGCCTTATACGTCCCCATTCAGGCACATCCGAACATGTCTCGGCCCAGCCACCTTTAAGCTTATTTCTACATAGTACATCCGTAGGGCTTAGATGACGCGTAATGTAACCTCCAAGGGTTTTCCTTCTAGAAGCATTTCTAACCGAGGACTTCCTCCCTCCCTAGACTGCATGTTGACACGGAGATCACAATTATGAAAGACCTCTGGAAATAAACGTCTAATAGAACGGGATGTCTTAAGAGAGGTAACAACGATTCTTGAAAATTTAAGGCAAGAAATGAGATTTCGAAGTGGCAAACGTCTTATTAGATCGGCTGTCTTGTACTTAGGCGAGGAATCCGAATACGAGCGTTTCGAACTCCAATGCGCAACTGAGGATGGTCCAGTATAATTATGTAACCAATCCACAACTATACAGACCGACATCTACAAGATCACCTTTGAGAGATGCATAGAATTTCTATCACAAGCAACAACGAGCGATGAGTTGTTAGTTGAGAAGTTAGCCTCTGAGTTATTTAAGCAACGCCAAACTTCTAAAAGAACAGCTCCCTCTACTTTCTGCAGGGACTCCTTTCTTTACGCGTAGATCCCCCATTACGGACCTTCCTCGTTCAGCGTACATTCTCAGGACGCGAAGGAGATCATTGTAACCTCTGTATACTAGTCTATCAATCCGTATTCGTTATCGCGAGGTGGAAACCAAAGACGTTTAAGCCAAGCGGTGGCTTGCCTATGGGGCTGCAGCTATATATTAGGGGTCGACATTCTAGGGATATGATACGAATAGGCGTTGGTAGAGGTGTTATTATTTACTATTGATGAGCCCTAGGTTACTGCCCTTCATGTTGCACATTAAAATAAGACTAAGAGTTATTTGATTTAATATACCTACCTCCCAGGTGACCACAACATAGGTACCTTGTTAAATGTAATTGTTGATACACAATCCCCAATCCCTCTATTTTAAATTTCATCTACGGACAACTAAAGTGCTTACCGCGAAGAGTTTGTGGTGTATTGAATGTTTTAATATGATACTTCTTACTTCAAACAGCCAATGGTTTGACGCGAGAAAGTGCGATTAGGACTTGAGCTGTCATGACGGGTGGTATGCGCTTTAGCATGTGTAGTCCCCGTACATCATCAGATTCCGAAATGGAGATTATCTGTGCGATGAACAGCTGTTCCAACTGCTTTGGAATGGAGAGATAAGCAACAGAGAACGCTTTGAACGGTATGCTCTCCCAATTTAATCATGAGATTCGAGGTTGCCCTTGGTGTGATATCAGATCCACCTCCGTCGCATCTAACTAATTTCAAGCATTCAATAAGATAGTTGAGCGATTTGTGTTCCAGTATTAGAAAATTCACCGTTGTGGAATGTATTTAGTTAGATATTATCACAATCTTTAGCCGGCCAAGTCAACATATTCTCATCCGTCACGACTACAGCACGCTAAATTCACAGTGGTTCCAAGTTTACAGTATGGTATATTGGGTGTTCTCTCCAAGTCGTCTCTGTGCGGTGAATTTAAGCTAAACTACCTAACCCTTGGTGGTAATATACTATGAGTCCAATGCTACCACTATTCGGTAAATGGTCAACGTCACCGGGGACATCACTCAGAACGAAGTCTCTTTCTACATGTTTGGCGATAGAGTTGCTTCCCCACCCCCTGCTCGCGTCATCATAGGCTCTGGGTAATCAATACTTACCTGCGGCAGGCCGGAGTCATATCTCTGCCTTTAAGTGATATGAGTGGTTGCTGAATCAGCAAGCCCAATAATAGCACTGTCATCTAGTATTCGAGTATAGGTACCTACCTAGCAGCGTGCTCCCCTAGTTTTACTCCATAGCCTACCTCACACGTATGTTGCTAGATAATAAGAATCGATAATGTGTCTGGTAAGAGTACTATATAAAGAGTATTATATGATTTCAGCAGGAGCGAGTTATCCCTTAAATCATCAAATGACGGCATCTTATATTATACGAATAACGTACAGCCAAATATTTCCATCTCTATTTTGATTTTTTATAGACGTTAATATGGTTAACGGCCGTAACTAATATCCGTAAGCAGCCGGTTCCTATACGGTCACTAGCCCAATACAGATGCCGACTCCTTTTTCGGATATCGGCAACGTCAGGTCGAAAACGGGGTTATTAGGACAATACCCAATGTCGAAGGTTCCGGCAACATTTTGCCGAATATAACAATTAAGAAACACCTAGCATCTATATCTTCTCTCCTTCCTGACTTCCTTCCATAGTGACTGTGTATTTTATATCTGTTCATAGCACAAGTAGACAAGAAACGGCTTCGGGGTCCATCGAATCTATCATCCTAGGCCATCTGCACCCCAGATATGATGTAGAGTTTAAGCGCATACCACGGATTACATTGATGGGTGTTCCAAAACTTAAAGCATTGCCCGGTATGAGTGTGAAAGCCGGGGAACATCTTAGAAGCTAAGAGTCTCGACTATACTAGGAGATGAGATGCCGAACAACGTCCTTTCTTGTAAACGTGATCTAGACGAAATAATGCACGTATCTACCACAGTTGTCACACAGCCCGCCTGTGCCTCTTCACACCTAACGGTTGATCCCCATCCCTAAGTGGATTGTCCGTTCGTTATCTAAGGTTGTCTTTGGATTTACTACTATCTCTACGGATATAACAAAGCGACAAATACCAACACAGAAAAAGAATAGAGGAGTAATTGTTTAGTTGCGCCCATGAAGATACGTCTCGTAAGACAACATGGTCGTAGCGTCAACACGAAGAATATACGTACCTAGCTAAGGCATAACAACCCAGCCTACCTAGCACCCCTAACCCCTATTACCGCGCCAATATCGTTTTCCTAGGACGCAAGACGTCGTCATATCTCATCTTCGTCCCAGTCATACGCGCTTGACGGACTCGCTTGGCGTCCGGAACGTAGGGCTGTCGTCCCGTCCGCTCTCCATGCGCCCCAGATTCCCCATGCAGATGCAATAGCATTTCCCCGTACCCATTTCCCAACCCGTTCCTGTTTTTTACCAGGATTCGTCGTACGGAACTTTCCTAATTCGACATTGATCGACTCGCAGCCAATCAGTCGGGGCCTAGATATGAACTCTGGCTCTACCGGCTATATTACCCCAGACCCACCGGGAGTACCACAATCTCGTCCAATATCTGGACGGAGTCAGGCCTTGATCTAACCTGCGCCGGAGAATTTCTGGATGGCAGCTTGTTGGCCTTGATTGAAGGCTTAGGCGACCCGCTGCGTTACGGAGATAGAGTTGAGGGGGGTTCGCTAGTATCGGCATCGCTTGCCCCTACTTTATTCTGTTCGGCATATAGTCGCATCAACCTTGCATGGGTTATATACTCATCTATATATATACTCGATGAAACTCTGGGGTAAAAGAAGTCGAACTCGCTACCTCAAGCCTGGTCGCTCTAACGTATCCTGTCCCATAACTACCTGTCAACGACAAGATGAAGTTCTCGTTGTTCACGGCTGCGGCATTTGCCTTGTCGGCTGAGGCTCACTGCATCTTCCAGGTAAGTCTAGCTTGAAATGCAACCTGCAAAGGTCAATGACTTACGAATCATGGTGTACTTAGGAAGTCTCAGTCAACGGGCAGAAGCAGGGCTCTCTGGTTGGTCTTCGAGCCCCGAACGACAACAACCCCGTCTACGATGTGACTTCACAAGGTAAGGCTGCCTGAGAGCTGCAACAAAGAGCCAAGAACTTTGCAGAACAGCTGAGGAGTTCCTATCAAAAATAGGAATAATAATCATTTCAGATTACTAACCCTTCACTCCAGACATCATCTGCCAGAAGCAAGGCCACACCTCCGACAAGGTCATCAGCGTCGCTCCGGGGGATAAGCTAGGAGCCTACTTCGGCCACGTCATCGGCGGTGCACAATTCGCCAACGACCCCGATAACCCAGTAAGAACAACCTACCTACCTTACCTTACCTATCCCAGAAGCCAAAGAGAAATGATGATAGTTCTAACATCTACGTAATAGATTGCCAAGTCCCACAAGGGACCTATCACAGCATGGCTTGCTAAGGTAGACAACGCGGCTACCGCGAGTAAGACCGGACTCAAGTGGTTCAAGATCTGGGAGGACACTTTTGACACCTCGAGCAAGCAGTGGGGTGTCGACCACATGATTTCCAACCAGGGCTGGGTCAACTTCCAGCTGCCGCAGTGCATTGCCCCCGGAGACTACCTCATGCGTGTCGAGACCCTAGCCCTGCACTCTGCGAAGTCGCCGAACGGCGCCCAGTTCTACATATCATGCGCCCAGATCAAGGTCAGCGGTAGCGGCAGCTTCTCGCCTAGCCAGACCGTCAGCTTCCCCGGTGCCTACCAGAAGAACGACCCGAGCATCGTTGCTAACATCTACGGTGCCCTTGGTCAGCCTGACAACGGTGGCAAGCCGTATAGCGCGCCCGGCAACGTCCCCGTCATCCAATGTTAATTGAGCGACTCGAAGTAGCGTCATAACCGCTTGTGAGGGGATGGTGTTGATTGGCCGCCTGGTCTATAGGGAGCATATAGTCCTGCAAATCTATATTTATATATATGACAGCCAAGAAACACATTTCGACCGTCGATAAGCGGGTTAATGTGTATAAGTCCAGTAGGAAATCCTAAACGAAGTTGAATGCAACCGAGTCCTATCTGTGTGACCACTAAGGGGTGTTTGTTGGAAAATGTGGTTGAATTGACATTTTGAATCACGTTATCGAAATAAGAACTTATTGGTACTAGGAATACCGCCATTCTGAGTCTCACGTAAGCTACCTAGGTAGTTTGATTTAGTGCTCACCGAAGAAACTGGTGATACCAATGTCGTCTGCCGTCTTCCGACTTGAGGGATGGGAATCGTTTCATCAGCCGCTCTCTGACCCTAGGTGTTTCTATATTTGAAGGATTTATCTGAGACGAACAAATCCTTCCGTGCGGGGAGGCAAGGGGAAATTTAAGCAAAGTGATGAGACGATCCATCCTGTCCTCTCAGCCTTCTTCACCAACCGCGTTGAATCTTATGCAGTTATTATGGTCTTTTACCTCAGGCTGCTCAGGCTGGCTGGGCAGTTAGGCACCTCGATCGACCCATAGAAGTGGCGCCGCGGGGGCGAAATACCCCGTTGGGACAAGGGGGTTGTGCATAAGCGACGTTGCCCTACCAATCACTATCCTTCCCTTCCTTGCTCTATCCAACTAGGATTTCCCGGCGAATGAACTGATTTGAAAGTAAGCTAGTTCAGCTGAACTGACTGTGCATATCGCGGCAGCTAGGGCTATGTGAACCCCTGTGAAGAGCCGCTTGGGGTCCAAATATTTTAGGGTATCGAGTGTCCCGCTGCTGCTCGAGTTAAAGTTGGTTAAGAACAATGGAGTAGGTAGAATAATATATGATGACATGAAATCTATTTTTTTTTCCGAGAGAGATATTAGTTCTTAAAAGAAGTGTATATCGTCAATAAACGACATAGCACGTGCCAAGATGGCACCGCCGACATTACAAACCTCAGTTAGTGCGTTGAGCATAAGCTCCCCTATTGAGAAAGCGGCAGATATATCCGAACAAAAAGAAATCGACACAATCTGGAAAGAAGTCTACAACAAGGTCGTCGAGCTCGCCGGTGGGGATCCGAGACGGGTTCAAGGAACCCTCGACATCAACGCGGTTCTCAAGTACGTTGACGACGTGCAAGCCTCGAGCAAGAAGAAGTCCGAGAAATTCGGCACGTTCAGAAATATAGTCAATAGAACGTTACAATGTATAAATACTGTTGGCGGAATAGTTGCGGACGGTGCCTCAACCGTGAGTATGCTCGTATTAGCAAGCCTATGATCTTGCCCATCGACTTTGATGCCGATAACAAGACTCGCTAACACAGGTTCATAGGTCTTTGCCCCAGCGGGGATGTGCTACAACGCACTCACCTTCGTCATACAAGCTTGGCAGGGCTATGAAGGTATCTTTGATAACCTCGCCGAGTTGCTTGAGAAATGCACAGAATTCCTCGAGCGCCTCGAGTCCTACCAGGGAAAGATGGATAAGAGGCTTGCACGTGTTGCGGTTCAAAACCTTCGACTATTCGTTGAAATATGTGATCGCACAATCAAGCTGCGCAAAAAGCACAACAAGCTATTTGCCTTCACGAAGCAGCTATTCTTGAACGACAATGGCATTCAGGATTTGCTTAGCTACATGGATCGGCTCAATTCTAAAGAAGCCCTTCTGGTTAACGCGCAGACTTACAAGATCGTGAGTGATAGCGCCGGAGACATCAAGTTAATACTTGATGGCCAGAAGGAGCAGAAGAAGGAACAGGAATTAAAGAAGTGGAGGGCGGCCATTGCAAAAGCACTAGGCTTCCCTTCTACGTCGTTAGACAAGGACGAGGAGCCGATTCCATCTTGGCAAAAGACTTTTGATGCTCGCAAGAACATGTTGGTCGATGACACTGGCAAGTGGATCTTAGAAGATCAGGCATTCCTGGAATGGACGGACTCGAAATCTTTTAAGAAGCCTGTGATGGTTTTGGGAGGTAGGAATGGCTCTGGAAAAACGTCGGCGATGGCCAACACTATGAAATATCTGAGGAAGATAAGTCAAGTTGGACCAGCCTCTCGAATTGTCACGCCTTACTTCTTTGTAGATGTCGACAAAAAGAAATCTGACGATGAAGATACCAGCACTGTTCTAGAGCTAGTCTCGCGGGCGCTACTCTGGCAGATTTCGATCGCCTACGAAGCGATGACTAAATCCGTATACCAAATCCTCGAGCGAACTCCTGAATTTGATGGCTCGCTCGACCTCTGGCAACAGCTATTCATTAACAACAAAGAGCGCATGAACCCAGATACGGCATTCGTTTTATTCATTGACAACTTTGATGAGACGCTCATCCCACTACTCGAGAAACTAACCTCCGGTGTTATAGGTAGGAAGACTCGGGTCTTCTTGACCGCCCGGCCGCAGATGTTTTCGGAATGGCTCGAGAAGGAAAAGGGGATCGGCTTCAACATGATCCCAATTTCTGAGCATAATAGTGATGATATCGACAAGTATATTGCTTCTAGAATGGATAGTATGCCTATCCTCAAAGATCCTGGTCGCCCAGGTATTCCCGAGTGGCGAGAAAAGATCTTAAGGACATTACGATTCAAGTGTGCCGGCGATTACTTCAAGCTAAACTCTAGTCTTGATGCCCTTGCAAAGGTCGACTTGATTGATGATATCAACGAGGTGCTTGCGAAAGCCGATAGGACTCGCGTCGATCAGATAGATGCTGAACTTCAGCGGCTCAACAACTCTCGAACCATCAAGGAAATTCAAGAAATAAACGAGATTATCCTATGGATCGAGACTGGCCGACGTTGGTTGACAATCAACATGATGGAAGACCTTTTGTCTGTGAAATACCGGAATAGCTCGGTCGCGCAACTCCCCAACCCCATTATCCCGCTTACGCGACGAAAGACAGACTCGCCAAATATTGAGAGCATCGCCCAGGAGGCTACCCCAAAAACTCTGACCATATCACTACTTCCTTTCGCCCAGAAGCTAGCGGAGAAGTACCCAATATTCGCCGTAAAGGATTCAGGATACATCGATTGGCGCTCTCCAGAAATAAAAGATAGAATCAAATCAAAAGGTTCCGACCCAGATGCCGTGATGGATGTTGCCGCATCGGGTCCGCAAATCATTCAAGAGTCCGAAATTGCTATCGTCAAACATTTTCTTAACAACGTATGTCCTCCCGAGCTCTACGAGAGGTTAGAATTCGAGCATTTTTTCCGTAAGAAGCTCGGTGCGAAACATAGGGAGTACATCTGCCTCGATCCTGATAACGCTGATATTAAGGCCGCCATAGCCTGCTTGACCATACTTACGGAGGAAGAACTGAGGAACAACCGAAGTCTCCGTCAATATGGACGTAATTGGCTGCTAGACCATTTAAAAGAGGTTGATCTCTCAGCAGCCGATCGAGATTTGAAGGCGCAAGTTGGCCCGCTCCTCGTGAAGCTATTTACAGAGGAATGTGGAATTGACTCCTTGTTCTGGCCTTTTGAGTTGGGCGTGAGCAAACAAACTTGGGAAGACGGCGAGAACATGGATATTCGCTACACTCGAATTGAATGGGTCTATTCTACGGCTGGCGTCCAGGAGGTCTCCCGCTGGCTGCATGACTCTTCGGTGACGAAGCGCATCACTAGTGACCACCCAGGCGCCTCATTTGTTGCAGAAGTAAAGAGCTCCGCCAATCTACACAAGACAGTGCTCTCATATGCTGCTAAACACTTGGCAGATCATCTATTCCTCCGTGTGGAGTTCCTTAACCGTCATTTCCGTTGTGCGTCTTGCTTTATTCGCGGGTATTTATCACGAGTGAGTCCTCGAGCCTCGTATCAGTAGCACGCGAAAAGTTTTAGCTGATAACCTCTATTTAGCTTGACCGAGAAAGGGCATCCCAGATGCCAAATGATCCATCCGTATATACTGAGGAGAGCGACGCGCACATCCTCGACGAGTTTGAAAGCGCACAATTCACTATTGAGGAAGTGAATGAGATTGAGGCATTTGCAACGGAAGTGCTTCAAAAGTCGAATGATACGCCGGAAAAAGAGTCGAGTTGGGAGACTCATGGTGCATTAATTGTATTTCAATTATGTGCTTCCGAAGCCAGCGCCATCGAAATTTATCAATCCAGAGCACGGAAGGCGGTCGATCTCAACCCTCGGAATTGGCATGCGGTTCATTTCATCGCAAAGCAGCCGAACACTGGCGACGAAGAAGCAGTGCAGCTACTATCGCAGGCTAAACAAGAAATTGACAATATCCGTGCTCGGGATCCAGAATGGATTATGGACCATTCTAACTCAGCATTGCTAGCACGTATTACGTTGGATTTAGGAGACCGCCTGTGGGACTTGTCTCGGGACTATCAACTTGCTGCACGCACCCATAGGGAGAGTCTTGAGTACGGCTACGTCCGTTTCATGGACTATACCGAGGTCCTTACTCGATACCAGAAACACGGGGCATTTTCCGAGTTTATTGCTTTTATCGAGACGTTGAATAAGACCAGCGAAACTTGGGCCGAGTATTTCGACGAGTTGGTTTACGCATTCGTCTATGAGCTGACAACCTATTCGGACCCTAACAAGCTATCCCAAGCTGCAGATGAAACCAACCGCTGGGATGTCATTGAGGCTTTCTTCACTCTGGCGTTGGATATGGGTGTGAAACGAGAAAACCACGATCTCCTCTTTCTTCTCCGGCACGGCTTTGCAAAGACGCTTGCAAACGCCGCCGACGGATTGCAGGAAGACAAAGTTGTCGCCATCCAGGAGAAGGCCCTTGAAGATGTTAAGCTTCACTCCAGTGATGCTTTATCTCGGTATGATATAGACGATATGGCTAACTCTCTCGCCGAGAGCTACTTGCGTAAAGCGTTCCAGCCTGGTTTAGTCGTCGACAAAGTTGACTTTTACGGGTCTCGTATTGCCGACTTGCTACCAGATGTCACGAACGAGACGCTAAACATTTGGGGGAGTAACGTTAATATATGCTGTCTGATACGATACCACCATAAGCGTAAGAGCGGCTCGAAGCTTGCCAAGGAGTGGACGCAAAGGATAGTACGAACAAGTATTGAACTTCTTTCGGATGAAGACGAGGAGAACGATGAAATGGCACACTGGCTGCTAGATCGCCTATTAACTACTATCGAGGATACGAGGCGTGTTCGAATTTTGTGGCATCTGCGTAATTTGGCGCAGCATGAGGCTCTAGTCAAATGGCAGGATTGGACGGCCAATCCTGCTAATACACCAAAGGCCACAGTTACAAACGGTAACTCTACCTCTGCGGCCATTGACGGTGTGATTAAAGGAAGCGAGAACGGAAGCAAGTCCCAACCAGGCGAGGGTCCTAGTAACGTAGTACTCGAGCCACCTACGCCATCAAAAGCTACTAACGACAACGCCGCCGCTCCTGAGAAGCCGTCTTGGTTCGTGAGCTGTGACGGCTGCGACAAGCAGTGGACAGTGGTTAATGAGCCTCTATACACCTGTGCAGACTGCTTAGGCCAGATTCAACTTGACAGCGAATGTTACGAGCTGCATAAGAAGGGCGAGTTAAAGAAGAAAGGATTGAAGTGTACGAAGGAGCATGCCTTCGTTGAAGTATCCGCTTTCGACGCAAGCTTATATAAAGACATCCCAAAGGCTTCGGTACCTCTGCCCGACGCTAAGCCTGGGGAGAAGAGGTGGATGTCTCTTGATGAGTGGAAAGATGAGTTGAGGAAGGTGTATTTGAATGGCGATACCGTGGAAGTTAGCGTGCAAACGCCGGAAGTTGTAGCGTAAATAAGGGTGTTTTCGGACTATTCTAGTGAAAGAGATCTTAGTAGAAAGGTCTAGTATGAGAGAACCGTGTCGCAGTATTGGATCAATTACATGACGATGTCGATGACGATGACGATGATGAGTTATGAGAGGAGAAGGGCCAATTTAGATTGTGTAAAGAATAGGAGAACTTCAATAAAGTGTTGTAGGTTCGAAGACAGCGGGGTCCCAGTACCTAGAACTTAAGTGCTTTAGGTAATGCGGTGGGTGTCCATCGCACTTACTCCAGTTAGCTTCAGCTGTACCCTATAAACTCCCGTGTAACCACGAAGACAGACAACTTATCAAAATCTTATAATCCAGTATCCTCATTCATCATATAATAAGCTAATCCATAACAATCGTAATTTACTAAATATCCTAGACCCATAGACTCATCACCGTCTCAAATCACCCACCTCAGCAGTAATAGGCAACACACTCACCACAACCGTCTCATTCATCTTGCCCCCGCGATACGCATACGTGAAAGTCCAGCCGGACCCAGCACCGCCATGATCGCCTTTATTATTCACAACCACAATACCGCTCTGCACATCCGGATACTTCCGCAGCATCCGCCGAACAGCATCCTCGGCCGCTTGCTGCGGACTCATACCCTGCCGCAGATTCTCGACGGCCTGGTAGCAGGGCAGAAAGCGCATCATGATGTCCCCGTCACCCGTTGCGCCGCACCCGCCAACATCCCCGTCGACGTAGGACCCGCTGCCCGTGATGGGGCCGTCGCCGACGCGGCCGGGTACTTTGCGGCCGGCGCCGTTGGTTGAGGTTCCTGCTGCCATGGTGCCCGAGGAGTGCAGCGCGATCATAGAGATCGTGTCGTGTCCCTCGGGCTTGTTTCGCGGCTCTAATAGCGATGTATATGCGGCTGAGTTTGAGTCGAGAGCAAGTGGCGTGTAAGGGCCACAAGAACTAGATGGGTCGGGAGATACATTGATGCGGTAGTTTGGTTGGCAGTTCTCGGCCTTCCATTGCTCGCACGATGCGGCAGAGTTTTCCGTCGTCAGGTTTTGCACAGTAAACCCATTTGAGACAGCAAAGTCAGTCGCGAAGTCACCAGCAAGAAGCGTATGGGTTGTATGTTCCAACACCGCCCGCGCGACTGAGACTGCTTCCTTGACGCGCCGAAGAGCCGCGACAGCTCCTGACTTCATGCTCGTGCCATCCATTATCATTGCGTCGAGAGTTGTCTGTTCATATTAGTTTAGCTAGCACAGCAAGCATGACGAACGAAGGGTAAGTAGCTGTTCCCTATCTTACCTCGCAATTCTCATCAGGAGAGCCGCCATAGCCCACACTCCCATCACACTGGTTGGCCTCGCAGGTAGAACACCCAAGTTCAACAGCATCGAGAGCCGATGTCTCCGGCTTCAAGAGAGACAAGTATGCCGCATCTGTAGCTGCAGTAAAAGGGCCGCCCCAAGTATTAATGACCATCGGCAGGCCAGGTGAATTGTCAGTATCCTGCCCACATGTGGTAACAATTGACGTTGACAACCAAGCGATTAGAGACGTTAGCCCAACTCCACGGAGGTAGGCCATCATGGCCATTGAGCATAGGGCCAGCGGGATGAGGTACCAAAATTTAATGTGCGACACTGCCCCGTTGGACAAAGAAACAATCAACATCAATACATATTCAACCAACGTTGGTAGTACGGTGCACCATTAGTGCGCAACCGACAAAACAAAAAAACGGATGAAAATTCGTCCGATTGGCTGGCGTAAGCGCTATAATTATAGCGCACTTACCCATTAAGCACCCTATAAATACAGGGCATTACAGTGAGCAATACGCTATAATTATAAGGCTTGTAAATCGAGGATTTTAATTGGCTGACATTTAACCAGCTGCAAGCAGCTGCAAAAGAACTTTAATTCAACTTCTAAAAAAAACCACTAAATCCACTGTAATTATAGTGGACTTAGCGTATGTAACCACTATAATTATAGTGGATTTAGTGGACTTCAACATCAACCAATCAAATTAAAAGATTCCATTGTCAATCCAATCTTTAATTGCCTTATACACACAACACACAACACATTCAAATAACTTTACAAAAACAACAATTCAGACATTATAATTGGTATCATTTTATAGCCGTAATTGATGCGAAAATAATGATTCAAGTTGCATTTGAATCGGCCTTTTGGCTGTTGTGTTGTAGTAGAATCAAATAGCGCTTGTCTGGAAATGACAATTGAATCCTTTAATCTGATTGGCCAAATCTAGATTTTAATGGGAAGGGTGGCCCGGATATTACATAACCTCGGAGACTTTTTTCAAGCACTATAATTCTAGCGAATGCACCACTGTAATGCCCTATATTTATAGGGAGCTTTAGCGTATGTAGGTGCTGTAATTATAGTGCGAGTGCCAAGTCGGACGAATTTTCATCCGCTTTTTTGTTTTGTCGGTTGCGCACTAATATGCCACCGTATTGGTAGGCATCTAGTGTTTAAGTTGATAACAATGTTCCAGCAGCCAAGCTTTCTCCAATTCCTTATCATTTGGTGATGGGGCAGTCGTATCATCAAGCTAACCCGCCAAAGCAACTGAAAAGAGATACTTGTAATGCCCCCTGCAATTGACTTGCAAGCGATATCGATCAATCTTAGTCGTGATATTACATTTATGTTTTTCACTCATTTCATCGTCTTAGGCCGATTATACGCTTGAAGGGTTTATCTTCTAGATTAATCTATGTATACACCGTATTTATATATTCTAAGTGAGCTATGTTCCTCTAAAGCTGTAATCTGTTAAAGCTGTTTTAAACAATATATCAAGCTCTTGATTGAATGGCACTTCCGTGCTTCGCTGCAGAGTATGGCATAGCCAATGGGTAGGTGATTTGAGTAGTAAAGAATATGGTGTATTGGACGTAAACAAAATAGGCTATGGGTATAATTTAACGTCATTTGCTGGTCTAGGCCTGATCCTTTTTAATCCAATTCGACGCTGGCAATGGCTTCTTTTACGAATATATCGTCACCTAGTGTAGGTTTTTGTTCAGCTTGGGTGTTCGCGGAACCAGGCGTGCCTGGAATCGACTCTCGAGACTCAATGCTTGCCCAGTCGGTTTCCTCGTCAGCCTCACTCCTACTAGCCTCGCTATCTGTCTCGAGGATGGCATCAGCCCCGCGGTGTCTCATATTGCGTTTAAGCATGCACATCTCGATGGCGATTCCCGGGCCAAAGGCACACCCCACCACATAATCCCGGACCCGGCCACCAGGGGCCATTGCGTCCATATCTTTACTCCGTAGGCGGTCTATCACGCTGAAAATAGTTGCCGAGCTCGAGTTTCCGTGATTCATGTATCGGTCATAACTTGCGCGCATGTGCTCTGATGAGATACCCATCACTTTTTCAGCACCCGTTAAGATGGTCAGGCCACCCGGATGCATCGCCCAATCAAAGTCGGATGCCTCTTTGCATTCAGCAGGGAGACCAGAAACATTTTCCAGCAGGTCGATGAAACTTGGGCGCAGTATTTCGGTTGCTAGCTTTGGCACTCGAGGTGAGAGTACAACCTTCCAACCAACCGGGTCTACGTCAAAGGCAAGATCGGTCTCGGTCTCGGGGATGATCTTGTGTTCCCACCCAAGTAATTCGTAGATTGGTTCGGCCGTTGGCTGTCCAATCCCGTTACTGAGAACCAAGGCGGACGCACAATCGGAAAACAAGCAAGCCCCAATGCGCGTTTCTTGGAGCTCATCAATGCTGTTTAGCTCGCTGCGAACCATCGTTGTGCTCACTTCAAGAGCAACACATAGAATCCTAGCAGCTTTCCGTCTCATTGAGTGCCCCAAAGCTAAATTAGCAGCAGTGCGTAGTACTGCTAATCCACCTGCACAACCGACTCCGTGCAACAAAACTTTCTCTACTTGGTGGGTAATACCCAACCCCTTTGCAACGAAATGATCAAATCCGGGGTTAGCACTGTCAGTACATGTTGTCGAAACTATATGAGTAATCTCGGATAGATCGATGCCAGCTTCTAGAATTGCTTTCCTAGAAGCCTCAATGGCGAGCGGAACACCATCTGACATGAAAATTTTGTGGAGTTCTGCTATTGATGGCGCTTCAGGTAGGTTCACTGAGGGATGATCAGAGGTACCAATAGATGAGCGCGTGTCGATACCCGTGTATTTATTTATTGAGAGCACCTTCTGCATGCTTAAGCGACCGTCTATCAGTAAATAAAATCATTCATTTTAGAGGGAAACCTACGCGGGAGAGTCAGGATAGTATTTAGTTGCGATTTTGTCTACCTCGTCTGACTTGAGGGAGTATGGTGGGTATCGAGCTCCTAAGCCGATGATGGAGAGGTCCAGCTCCCCGAACGTATTTGACGATGCCATTGCCCTTAGTCGTGCGTCAACTTCTCTTGTTCGATTAAGTATTTTAGGTATTTTAGGTATTGAAATCTATCGTGATGTAAAAACAACCGGACGGTAGTGGCAGAACGTAGGTTAAGATTCTAGCCTCGGTAACGTTTGTTCAACGCGGTAACGCTAAGCGCCGACTGTTTAGAAGAATATAGCACGAAGCTCTTGTGTAAGTTATCCCCTGGCTAGGTAGACTAATAGGTAAGCTAATAAGCTAATTCTGGAGAAGAAAAAGAGTATGAGACGCCAAGAGATTTAACCGCAAATATCAAGGTATATCATAAACGATTTACATTGACATAATAGGTTAAAATAAAAGAGAAAGAAAGTTGAGAGAGCCGATCATTGGGTAAGTACTAATGACAGAACTTTAAAGCGTCTGGTGTTTCGTCTGACAGGTGCTACTGATGCACTAGGAACCCAGGTAATATGTCTAGCGTAACCCGAGGCACAATTAAAGGGTATAGTGGTTGATCAGGGTCGTTATCAGGGCTATTAGGGTATGACGTCCGAGTTTGAAACGATTATGACACAGGCGATAGCGGGTGGTAGTAGCGAGGTAACGACATGGAGGCAAGCAGTTGCCAAGTAGGTACCTGGCTTAATTATCTGGACCTGCCTGCATAAGTTGAGGGCTAGTCGCCACATGCATTAGTGCGGTCCAGCTCGTAAACCCGGACGAGATGAAAAAAGTATTTTTCCAATTGATATTGAATATACGAAGTACATTAGGTACTATATAAGGCAATAAGACTATGGATTTGAAGATCTTGAACGGGATAAAAGATGATAACCACTATTATACTTAATGCACATACACAGTACATCAGGTACAGATTCCCAACCGAATGTGTATGATCTTAGCCCGCACCAATTCCATTATCCAAGAAATCATGAATCATCATTGCTGCGCAAGGTGCCCTAGTATTACCATACTGGTGAAATATTGCCAAATATACGGCGCCATTTACACGACTTGAGACACCTTGCATATGGCATGTAAGACAGGGCTTATGCAGGGGATAACGTTCGTAGAACCTTTTCACATGCATCCATCGTTCGAATGCACGTGCGTCGATACCCCTTCCGAAGCATGGGTTCAGGAACAATCGGCTTTAAGATTTGTATCTAGACCTCGCCACTATCTCACGCTTAATCACATACAACCCAAAATCTACCCATAACAATGATTCTAGCCAAGTTACCCTTCGCCATACACGCCCTCGTCGAGACAGCGGCAGCCTTATCATTCATACTCAACCCAGAAAAACAACTCCCCGGATGTAACACGGCTGCAAAGCTCATCCTACGCCAGTACGGCGGTTTACTGCTATCAACTAATCTCATCTGTCTTGTCATTCTTTTCGAGCCTAGCTTCACTAACACGACTCGCCTACTCGCGGCCGCGTTAGGAACATATCACATCTGGCCATGCTATCGAGCTTATGTCCGTATTAGTCAAAATAAAGAGGGAACAAACAAGGAAAAGCCAGTTCTAGGCGGTCCTCTATTGCATTTGATAGTCCATTTGGCCTGTTTTGGGATGTTTATATGGACTTGTGTCTCCTGAAAGACGCCCAGCGACAATTCGCTCATCACGATGCAGTCTCATAATTACTGGCATAGCATTCTAAGATATCAATCTAAACAAGACGGAACTTTCGCTACATGTGTGTTCGCGGTGAACCACTCATGATCAGTGCAAACACCATTTGAGTCTACAGACCAAGTCCCATCTTCAACCAGCGATGCCCAATGACGAAGGACCTCGGCAAGTTTAGGATCTCGAGACGGGCCCCAGGCAAACCTATGTCGGAATTCGCAAGCATTGGGCAGTCCTGAACTTGTGATGAGACGTACGACATCGGAGTTATTCGTGTCGGCTATCACGTACAATCCGCTCTGGCGATTAACCGTAAACTTCCCGAAGCCCCAGTCGCGATCGAAACAGTTGATGTACAGATTCTGATCATTGCCGACATCATGAGGAACTGCGTCGATGCCAGGAAATAGGAGACTAGGCCAATTCTCGTCTCCGAAGTCCCCCAACCAACGCGTCTGGCGCGTCGACCCGGGTGCCTCCGCTGTGTACCTATGTAGCGGCGAATGATTCCGGCGTAAAAGTACTAATTCCCGGCGCAATGAATGAGAATTTGGGCCGTTGCGCTCTAGTAAGGAATTCGGCAGATATATATACGGCGTTAATACATCCACAACACGTCCGGGGGAGATAGGCGTTGTGTCGAGTAGTGCGAGAAACCGGTATTAAAGGGGCAGCTCAGGAAGAGACTGGATCTCGACAAATTCCGGAGCGGCGTCCAAGAATCGCGCCACGAGATTCCTCTCAGTCCGTCGCGCGGGGAGAACGATATATTCAGCGAGTCTATTCTGAAGGAAACGGGAAATGAACGGTCTTGAAGATTGAATGTGAGAATTATTGAGATACAGAATATTTAACAAAAGTTCTCCGATACGATTTTGAAGAATTCACCAACTAAAACTCGCACGTCGGAACCAACAAAATCATCGTCAAACCCTCCAGCAGCTTTCAACACGATAGCTTTTCAGAATCTACCTAAGCACAGCATTCTCCGTCCCAATTAACGAATTCGTCAATTTCATTCTCTCTGATATCATCCTCCATATCATCAAGCATTCGTAAGTCGCCATCATCCTGTAGATTCGGCCAGTCTTGGATTAAATCAGCTGTCGGGAAATGACCCTGCTCGCGTGCCATTTTCATTGCTTTCTCGAGCTGCGAGCGATCTTCACCGCGTGATGCTGCACCCGCCTTCAAGAGTATATGTACCGTATCCGTCCACCCATTAAAAGCAGCTCCTTCGAGGGCTGTCATCCCGTTAATCATAGCCGCCGGAGCATCGACTTTGGCTTTGTGACTGAGCAAATAGCAGACTATGCGGTTATAGCCGCCGATTGCAGCCAGTTGGAGGGCGGTCGCGCCACCCATAACAACCGGCAGCGTGTTGATGTCGGCGCCAAAGTTATGCAGCAACTCTACCATCTCAAAACATCCAATCTCGGCCGCCCGCTGCAACGGCGTACGTCTTATACAGTCTGTCATGGTGGGATTGATAATGGCACCATTACGTATGAACAATTCCACCATCTGGATGTTTCTTGTGCCAATGACTGCAAGGAAAGCTGTGATTGTTTGGGTAATTATAGTAGATAACTTGCGCATCGGCTTTGATGACAACTTTGCGACTATGCCTTTAGGATCGCAACCAGCTTTCAAGAACAGCTCTACCAAAGACAAACTCCCGGTTTGACTTACACCAATCGCTTCGCCAAACGGGCTCATGGTCTCCCCATATGATTTTAAAATCGTACTCCTGTAGGGTTTCAAAATCCTGCGAGTATATTGTCCGTTGGAAAGTAATTGATTTGGATCAACCCCATAATCCAATAAGTATTTCACTTCGATCTCGTCACGACTCCGAATAGGATTAGAAAATACACACGACATTGACCGCCGTCTTTTTTTATTACGTTCATCTTTTATTACGTTCTTCGTCGTCGCCTTTTAAGAGTAGTTCGAAAATTGGTCTGCATTCCGATTGAACCTTTCGAATGTACCAACATGAAATATGGGGATCTGCGCCGTAGGAAATGAGTAGCCTAGCCATATCGAGATTCCGATGTTGAATGGAATACTCAAGGGCATGCATATTACACGTATCCAAGTCGATTCCACCTGAATATTCGTCGAGTAGCAATGATGTTAGCCAGATATTATTTGTTTTTATGGCTGTCAAAGGGTCGACATGTCGTCCCGACGCTAGCAAAGTCTGAACTATCGCCTTCCTACCTAGCGAAGCCGCAAACATAACCAGATATTTATCTTCATGACTATTAAATAATAGCAGGGACGCACCCTCCTTCGTAGGATAGAGAGATGTTGGGTTGGTAGGGGCTTCGAGCATATAGTCAGTAGCTGCTACCGTATGGTAATCCTGTACCACAGCGTATGGATCGTGGTCAAATCCAAGAATTAATTGTACAAGACTTTCATTGCCTCCTCGAATAGCCTCAGAGAGCGCATCCCGAAAGACCTGATTACCTATTGGTAGGTCAAGCTGCGTTATGTGACTAAGTACCATGATTGCGGCCTCGTAATCTCCAATTCTTGATACCTCCATGAGAGCGTGGTAGAGAAATTTGAAGGTCGTGATTGGAATATTCAGATTCCTCAATTCTCGGTCAGTTCTATAATAAGCCTTGTATCAACCTTGTCGACTAGGATACCATGAGTGAAATGCTTCATGGCACTCCTTGGTTGATGAACTAGCCCTCTGCCGATTAGCAAATTCTTAGAGGCTATTTGGCAAGCAATGTCATCTTGTCCAAGTTCGAGAAGTGTGCTAACAGTCTGTAAATTGACGAAACTTCCAGCATCTAATAGTATCTGGATAATCTCTGCATCAGCTTTGGATCTATTGTTTGTCGCGCATTGCAATGCACCATGCGAGTGGTAACTATATCTCCGTGCGTGATTAAGCTCACACTCAGAGCATTGGTATGATTTGTTTACATCGGCGCCATAATCGAGTAAAACCTTAATGAGGCTTTTGTGCTGTAGCATTTTACAATGGGAAAATGCTAGCCACTGATATCAGGCCTAAGATATGGTTGTATCGTGGGGTATTTGTGTAACGCCTATACATAGGACTACGTGTACTAGGCCTCGCAGGTGAAGATATCAAGGCGGTCATTGGCTGACATCCAAATGTCAGTCTGACTTGGTGGTGCTTAACATTTTGACAAGAACCCTCAATAACCGCGAACCAGGAAATACGTTATTTGCGCCCCGAGTGCTTGCGTTGTCAAAATATTAAGTATAGGTGCCAAAGGGGGTAAGTTTGATGACAGGGCTCACTTTGACTATATCCGTCTTACCTTTCAAACGGGAAGACATCTAATTGGATAGATAGACTTTGATGGCTATATATCAGGTTCCTTCTCATTTTGCATCTTGCCAATAAAATTTATACAGAAGACTCTTATAGTAAAGGGGCTTTTCATCATAAATGATGGGCACCAGCCCTTCCTTGCCCCTATACCTCACTTAAGCAGAAATGATTCGACAGCAAACTTGTTTATTGCCCCAAGACCCTACTATTCTATTATACTCGAGTTGTGCGGTTAACATCATGGCTCTTCCTATTGCAACCATTGTGGATATTGTTAGTATGTCATTGTCATTCTTAATCACGGCCATGACTGCTTGGGAATTTTATCGCCGTCGAACTCGGAAGCATCGTAAATCAGGTGAGTATGATTCAATAACAGATACCTACCCACCTACATATTAGATCAAACAGCGTGTAATAACACCGGAAACCTTCAGAGCGTTCTCTCGAGGATGGACTTGAGATGCGAAGCGAAAATTCTAGCACTAAAAGCGATGAAGGCCACCATTAGTTCCTCGTATCAAGGTAAGTGTTCAGTTCAAATTCAAGACCGACAAATACTGATATGTATAAAGACAGTGTAGTGGACTAAGGCTGCACGATCTTATTATAGGTTGCCATAAGCGACCCTACTCAACACCTAGACCATAATTATGATGAATACGTCTTTACACATAGCTATATATTTTTGAGTTGTTGATATCTGCAACCAGGGGTTGTATACCTAAGGTACATACCTGTAGCCAAAACATGTGTCACTTGACCCCTTAAGGGTTCAGAATTTGAGATGGACATTGAATGGCAATAGTAGCAACTATTTCATCATGATATATTAAGATACATTCTACCGCTATCAATTAGCTCCATTAGAGCGACTCTCCCTTTCCTTCAACACTTCGCGTACCTTAGGTAACACGTAACGTCCGTAGTCAATAGCATCGTTTAGGTTATCATAACCACGGATGGAAATCAGCTCAGCCCCCAAGTCGACGTAGTCAAGGAGCGAGTCAACTATCGTCTGTACCGAACCCACAAGCGCCGTCGATGCGCCGCGCGCGTTAGTAGCCGTCACGGTCGGATACCACAGCGCACGGTCCTGCACCTCGCCGCGCTTCGCGATGTCGAGGAGCCGCTGCGAACCAACGTTCTGCGGCGGAGGCGCCGCGGCCGGCACTCGGCTCTTGCCGTCAGCCCGGTTGGCGTTTAGGGCGTCGAGTATGCGATGCGCCTTAGCCCACGCTAGCTCTTCCGTCTCGGCAACGATGGGTCGGAACGTAACCCAAATGCGCGGCCGGTCAGTGCGTCCCGCCTTCTCGGCCTCGGCATAGATACGGTCGATCTGCTCCTTAGTTTCCTTAAGAGGTTCTCCCCAGAGACCGAAGATATCGGCTAGGCTTCCGCCGATACGGTATGCCTCATCTGACGACCCACCGACGGAAATGGGGATACTGGTTCCGTTCACGGGGCGCACTTTGTTGCTGAACCCCTTAAACTGATAATACTTGCCGTCCCAGTCAAAGGGATCGGCGGACTGCCATGCGCGCTTCAGGATCTTGACGTACTCTTCAAGTCGAGCATAGCGCTCTTCCTTGTTCAGGAAGTCACCCTCTCTTGCCTGTTCAACATCACTGCCACCGGCGATGAAGTGCACTACGGCTCGGCCCCGGCTGAGCTGATCCAGAGTGGCTAGCGCTTTGGCCGCTACCGTGGGGTATAATGTGTTTGGGCGAAGCGCAATAATGACTTTTAGATTCTTAGTCACAGCGGCGATAGTAGCGCCGGTGGTGAAAGGGTCAAAGTATGACGAGTCGTACGGCACAAGAGTATAGTTGAATTCATAATCATCCAGGTTCCGGGCATACCGTTCCAAGTAGTCCGGGTCGATGGCCGGGTTCGGGAGCGGGTTGAGCTCCGTGGATGGGTTCGGGAACGTCAAACTGATGAATTCTGTAGGCATCTTGATTATCACGTCCGGAGATTCCAGTATTCCAAAGATCAGATAAGATCTAAGAAATACTTATAAGTATGGTGTTTTATACGGATATACCGGTAGCAGCCTCGATGGCGACAACTGCTCCAGAATCACGCAATAGCCCTTGGGCCGGTGCCGGCCGGGTATACTCCTTATCTCAACCCCGACCTTCTATATAGAGGGCATAAAGAAGTTAGCATCGGCCGGTTTTTGATTTATAATCGTATGGCCAGACTGAATGGATTTAGTTGGGGGTATATGTTTGGGAGTAGGCTAGCCACATTATGTTAATGTCACATTCTATAATATTGATATCGTTTAGTTATTACTAGAGAAAATTACACACTTCCAATCAGCTAGCTGTGTAACACGCGGTTGATGGTTCTATATACTACTTCAGTTAAATGTACCAAAACTTCTTATAAGGGAGGCTAGAGAAACCAGCTCAAGCAAAGATCTTTCTACAATAACCTAGGGTATAAATATAGAATAGGTAAGGAGAGAACACGCTATTATAGAATCCAAATTTAACTAGTATAGAGTTCTATTTTTTAGCAGCCAGAACATGAAGGGGCAACAACTAAAAGGTTATAATCGAGTATAATATACCTAGACGCACTAATAGTTGACGAGAATCTACACCAGCACAATCAATTCTTACGTAGGTTTTACAACTGCGGTATCGGGAGGGGAAAAGGGTGAAGATTGCGTACCACCCGAAGGATCTGCTGGATGAATCGAGAAGCAAGCACGGCGCGAGAAAGCCAGAAGTATAGCTTGGTAGGGATGGGATATGGATACCTCCTCGACGTAGATAGACTATGAATGCAAATTAGGGGCTTCGTAGGGCTTTATCCCTCGCTGCTACCTAAAGTGTGATGAAATTGTTGCGATTCCATGTCCGAATCATGATGATAACTGTCAAGAATATATCTAGGGAATCTATATATCAAGTGTTATAGATTACCAACGTCCTTTACCTCGTCTATACCCTACCGAAGCTCAAAACCTCGCTCCTCTAGCACCTCGCGGAAGATGTCCCTTCCGTGCAACGACTCTACCGTCGCTATGCGATGCGCCGACCGATAAGTCCACGCCGGCGCATCGCCGCGCCCCTGCTTCGCATTAAAGTCGGCTAGCGCCTCGTCATACGCCGCCAGTTTTGCTACCTTTTCCTGCAGCCCACCACTGCCGGCCTGTCCCCACGTCTCCCGACGCACCACCTCATCCTGCGCCAGCCGCGGCTTGACCGTCGCCGGCGGCGCTCCCGGGTCCGGCCGCCCGACCGCCAACCCGAATAGCGCGACTACGCGCGGCGGCAAGGAAAGCAGGGAAGCTAGCTCCCTTGGCCGGTTACGCGCCGCGCCTACGTAGCACGTGCCCAGCCCGAGGGACTCAGCGGCTACGCACGCGTTCTGCGCGGCAAGGGATGCGTCGATCGTGGCCATAGTGTACATCTCGAGGAACTCGAGACCAGTCCCGGGAGTGCCGTGCTGTGTGCACGTGGTAGTTAGACGCGCGAGGTCCGCGCAGAAGACGAGGAACAGCGGCGCGGCGCGGATGAACGCTTGGTCGCCGCATAGTGTGGCGGCTTGGGATTTGAGGGAGGGCGTGGTTATGGCGACGGCGCTCCAGGGTTGCAGGTTGGACGATGTGGCGGCGCTTTGGGCCGCGGCCGTGAGGAGCTCGAGGGTGCCCGGGGCTAGGGGGTCCGGGAGAAAATTACGGACGGATTTGTGCTGCAGCAGAGTTTCGAGGGTTGAGTTCGCGGCGATGGGGGCCGCGGGGGGAGCAGCGCTGCCGCTACTGGTGGTACCGTACCGAGCTTCGAGCAGGGAGGAGAGGTTCGCCATTTTGTGGTTTATTATTCCTCTATTTTCGTTTTAGTTCCTAGGTTAGGTAGACATATAACCTCCAAGAGCCCCTTTTCTCTTTTCATCGTGGCCAAATATAAGAGACAATCAGTGTAGGCATAGGTGGGAGATAGGTGTTATCCGGCGGCCGTATGGCGTGCTAGCGAATCGGGATTTTGAAATACGCCGTTTATCGGCTCGGCTTCAGACATCGCCAATCTCCAAGTCAACTTACAGTTCCCTTACCGCTTTACTTAATACCGCTCCGGCGCTCCAGAGCTGGCAGTTCAGATCATTAACTTCCTAGCAATGGTTGTAACTAGAACGTCTGGGTTTAGAATTTAGTCGATATCCTAGCAAGGAATATGGGATAAACATAACTGAGCATATTATAATAGCATTTCATAGACGAACTCCCATTAGCATAGAGCTTTGGTTGATGAAACATAAAATACTAGCAGGTATCTAACCTAGTCACTTGCGAGTTTAACCGTCAGTTAAACATTATAAACCTTTTGACTAGAAGCCACCTTTTAATTTAGGTAAATTTGATTGTTTAGAGTATATCATATAGATTTAGAATAGAACTGGATTCGTTTAACTACTATAAAAGCCTACAATCTTTTCTCAGCAGCATCAGCCGGACAATTGAAGTAAGCAAACCCCACGAGATCTGAAGGTCTAGGATTGATGCTTAAAAGGTTGTGTGCTAGTCCAAATATCAGGTTCTAAAAGCTATTCCATGATGGATTATATATGATACTAATCCACCATTACACGATTTTAGCAACAAGACTATGACGTGTGCCTTCAGCGGAAGCACCTTTGTTTCCTCCCCTATTCCCAGAAAGGAAAATTTTCATTTTCTGTGGTGGTGAGCGAGTCATAAGGCTCTACTCGCGCAATTTACGCACATACCTAGGTTAAATCTATTCGGTACCAGATAGGTCCAATTAACCGTAGAGAGAACAGGGTATAGCGTATAGACGGACTTGAATAACACCAACACGTGGGGGTCGGCAAAACTACCTCTAATGGATCAAGATAAGTGTTTCTTCATTACTTCTAGAATAAAGCACTATATAGAACTAGAGATGTGGTAGGAGTTATCTTAGAGAGATAAGTTAAATTTTATATTCCCGCACCCGCACATAGTTTCTATATTACGCAGTTGTGAGAAGATACATTAGGGCCGACCCGAATCCTCGCGGGCATGACAATCGGCTCCGATGAATTTTGAGTAAAAACATAGGAGTAGCTACAAAGCAGTATTGTATAGGATATCTTGCAGGAACCATACCGAAAACATCTCATTTCACCGATCGCGTAGGAAATATTACAGAGTTCTCAAGATCTTTCTTTTCAGAGATAACATTTACTAGAGTTTCAGCACACACATCTTGGTGCTTGTTTTTACTCTTCATATTCATAGAACATAATTATTCCAAGATAAACCTTAGGCATATCAGCACTTTAAAATTATTCTAGAGTTCATTCTACGACCTTTTCCTTACCTCTCTAATGAATATGAAGGCTAAATATACAAGATCTATACTTGCTAAGCCCCCAATCTATCTATAAGGCATCTCGGATCCCCTTTCTGATATACGATCAGCGCAAACCCAATCCCAACACAGATCATTGGATACAAGTCTCGATCTTCTTACCATATCCAGGCACCCGAAGTTAATAAAATCGCCCCTTGAGGCTATCCCAAGTGGAAATTCCTACCAAAAATTCACCCACTCAACCAGCCGGGCAACCATTTTAGAGCCCGCAGACTAAAATAACCCGACTAGTCACCTTTCTTCAACTAGGACCGCGTTAGACTCGCAATTTGGCGTCCTTCTTTTCACTTCACGGTTTAGCAAAGGACCTTCTTATGTAATTGGAAAATATTCCAGCGCTTGGCTTCTTAGTACCTATTTGGACCCTTCGTCATGCTTTTAGTGCTGTTGCTGAGAAGCCCCTGACGTATGACAAGCCGCAAGATCGCAATAGTGGAATAATTAAGCGGTTGCCAAGCATAAGCCGCCTACCACCTAGGCATCTTCGGAGTCAAGACTCAAGAGTAGCCCTTCTAGGAGCTCTCTGCTAGAGAAATTTCAATCACGTGTAAGTATATAGTTGAGTGATATTGTTACTCCTAGCCGTAGAGCCAAATTGCTATATAGTAAAAGGCCCTCCGTATGGCTCGGTACGGCAGGTCATAATACTCTGTAACCTGCATCATTTCGCTTGGCGTAACGTTATCTAACCCTACGCAAGTGGCCGCAGCGGATATCGCAACCAGGTGTCTAGGATGCGAGACATAGCAGCCCATTTAAGCCTTGAAAGACAGAGGTAAGGAGGGGTACCTCTGAAGGGAGGAGCCGACGAAGGATTCAAGCTTAACGCGCAGATTTGCTTTCATGTGAGCCAAAGCATAAGTAAATCTGCATGTAGCTTTGGTATGATGAATATATACAGTCAGTACATACGTCTTTCCCTGTATGACCCTCGTCATTGAATGTATCTCTCAACACTAACAATCCCTCGATGCCGTAAAAAACGGCCCATAAGGGGATGGCCCGGGGCATCATGTGATAATTAGAGACCAAACCTCCTACCTCCCAGATGTGAAGAACCTAAAATCGCCGCTACGGCTGTTTCATGAGCTATCTCTAACGCGCCGGTATTAGCCATGATATTCTTGACCGGCGACCATAACTACCGACCCGCATCCCCGATCTCTGCACGAAAAGCGCATATGCCATAAACTAGAGCGAAAAGAAGGCTCTGAAGTTGTAGAATGTAGCTGCTGGTGTCGTAATTAGGTATGTCGGATCAGCCCAGTTTGTCGTCCGCTTTGAAACGTCTCGATTTAGTTCCTAGGGCAGTGTCATAGGTTTAATAGACGTCACTAATATGATCGACCTACTGCAACGGGAGGGCCGTCGTGGGCTAGGGAGCAAGTGATAAATATATATATGTCTCAAAATAGCTATCCTAGGGATATATCGACAACTTTGAGCATTCCTTTCAATATTCCTAGGCATTCCATTGCCTCTTAATCAGTAATTCCACACATACTTCTCCTTGAGGCAACACACAAGATCCCAAGAAACCATGATTCCCTCTCAAACTCACCTCCGGGCATCCGTCCTAACAATATTATCGTCCCTAACCCCCCAAGCAGCCGCCGCAACCCCCGACTGCCACTGCTACCTCACCGACGGGTCGTCATCCGAGTACTTCGCGAACCAAAAGTTCTTCGACTTCCGCAACATAGCGGACCCGCGAGTCCCGCCGCCCATCGACGACCGGGACGGCTCTACCAACGCCCCGGTAACCAACGCCTACTTCAGCAGCACCGACTTCACCAACACGTGGTCGATACAGACATGGATCGACTCGCGCGCCGTCTACAACACCTACTCCAAGAACGACGTCTACATCGAGAGCAACACGGACGCCGACCCGGCCTCCCGCACGTACCTCACCCTGCGCACGTACCGCCACCCCGCCGGCAACTTCCAGTCCTCGGCCGAGATCCAGTCCGTCTCGGCCAACTACCAATACCTGTCGATGCGCATGTACTCGCGGACGCGCGGGGCCGCCGGCGGCGTAACAGCCATGTTCACGTACCGGGCCGGGGCGGCCGAGGCCGACGTGCAGGAAGCCGACGTCGAGATGCTGACTTCGGACGCGACCAACCAGATGCACTACACGAACCAGCCGACCATCGTAGACGGCGTCGCGCGGCCCAACGCCACGCACCAGATCACGATCCCGGACGCGTGGACCTCGTGGCGCACGCACCGCTACGACTGGACCCCCGGCTCCAGCAGCTGGTACGTCGACGGCGAGCTCGTCGACACGAACCAGTTCCAAGCGCCGGTCGACCCCGCCACGATCCTGTTTAACGCCTGGTCCAACGGCGACAAGTGGAGCGGCACCATGGCTTCGGGACAGAGCGCTCAGTTGCAAATCCAATGGATCGAAATCATATATAATAGTACTGCCGAGCCCTCGCCGTACCCCCATTGCGCCAACGTGTGCAGTTTCGATCGTGGCACGGAGCCGGGTGTGTCGTTGGTCATCAGCTCTAGTCCGTAGAGCCTGATTGATTGAAGAAATCCGTCACCGTCACCGTCACCGTCACCTTCTCCTTCTTTTCTTCAGTTCAAACCTAGAGGCGTATATCAGCGATTTCATATAAGATAATGTAAGGCAACAAGCGTATATTCGGATCGTATATTCGGATAGCATAATTATTAGAACCCCCTTTTGTATATAATTCAGCACCAGATATTTTGAATGAACCTGCGCCAAGTACATACTTCGATGTTATAAACAGATTTACAACAAGCTCGATATATGCTGTTAGTGACTAAACTGGAATGTCAGCATGAACAATCCCGAAAGGGGCTGTAGTGGTAAGGGGCTACAAAAAACTTCAACATTTTCATAATAAATCACTTGTCTGTTATTAGAAGACCTGTGTCGCGTGATCATATCTTTACCAGAATATTTCTCCATGCAGCTGAAAATACATATATCTAATATGTCGTCAGCAAAACCCAAGAATAAGTGAAAGTCAAGTAAGCTTACCACAGGGAGCACACAGTATCTCAGCCAGTACAGATATGAAATCAACAAGCTCAATTGATTGCTCACTGCTACATAACAGTCTTCCCAAAACCGTTCGTCCGTCATCCATTTATTCATTCATCCATCCAACCTCACAAATGCATTTTGCTTTTCCGTCGAGGACAGCACCCCGACCCAGCCGGCGAACACGATTCGCGATGCAGGGTATCCCAGTAACGACAATATCGAACGGCCCCCAACAAATGCAAAGCAGACGATCTCTAGATAGGGTATCAGAGACGACAAGATATGAAACAGGATCAAAGGAAATAAGGAGATAGATAGTATGCTAAAAACCCTCTCCAAAATATAGTCCGTACCCAAGGGATATATAATGGAGTATCCACGGACCCGGTTAGTCGTCAGATTTCGTGCCTATGGCGTGACCTTGCCTCATCCCAGTCTTTTCTATTCCTACTTCATTCGCATACCCCCGTTCTACCATGACACCTAAAAAGCTAGAAAATAGGATAAGACCATAAGAAATGTTCGCGTGACTTCCTCAGTCACCCATGCCAGCCAGCCCAGCCATTGGGGCAAACGTATCATAATCCTCGTCGCTACTATCGATTTGACTTTCGGAACTCTGGATGTTGCTAATGTCGGCGCTGGCCATGCTGCTATATTGCTCTCCTAGAGTGATACCCATACCCATACCCATAGAGAAGATGCTTTGACGCCTGCCGGCTTCGAATTCGATAGCGCTTCCGCTGCGGCTCAGTTCCGGTTTCTCGGGGAGTTTTTTCAGCAGTCCGGTCGATATATCAAGCATGCCCATCGCAAATTCGGTGAGACCTTTTGATTCGCCGGGCTTACTGCTAACGCTTAGCGTCCAGCGATACTCTCCAAGTCTGCGTCGGTACCAGTCCGCCTCTTCGCGACCTGGAGAGGTGGCCCAGAGAAGTGACCCAAAGGTGCCAATTAAAGCAAAATTGGTCTTTGAGGCAAAGTACCAGAAGGATCGGAGATGTTGAGGCGTCAGCCGATTAACAAAGTCCATAGCGGATATCAGACGAGCTTTCGCAGCGCTACGGCAAATGTGTTGGACGTAAGGGTCAACAGCCTGCGAATCCGTCTCTAAAGACCGGATAATCCGGCGATGGAGGGTGATTTCCGTTGCGAAGTAAGCCAAGTGCAGATATCCGATGCTCGACAACCGCGTGGATGCGACGGCGGGGGCAACGGTACTAGACTGGAAAGAAGAATCCATACGGATTATGCCTGGGAGCGCAGCATACCACTCTTTGAGCTTAAGCTGTATGGGTTTCGCCAGGCCCAGAACAAGGTGAGTGCCTTGCGGTCCGGCATCGGTAACGTTCTGCATAGCCTCAAGCGTGTAGAAGGTCTCGAGGATCTCGGCTAGCACCTGCGTAAGATAGATCATTTGAACAAACAACGTTCGACCTCGTTCTATATCCATCTTTTCCTCTTCATTCTGTTCGTCTAATTCTGTCTCTGGAAAATCATTTGATGCTAGAGGCTGCACAACCCAGTTAGAACTGAAGATATGTGACGGCCGTCCATGAACAAGAGCTCCCCATTTATCTTGCATATACAAAGCCCAAGCAAGTCTTTTCCTAAGTCCCTTCTCCCAAGGCGGTATCTTCCAGTGTGTACAATCTAGGTGGAGGCCGAGTTCTTGAGCGATCGCCACAATCTGGGCGGTCGGGGCCCATTGGTCGCCCTCGGGTCGTTGCGAGAGTAAAAGTCCGGCTTGCACGGTAGAGAGCTTCGGGCGCCACATAGCATCAGCCAAAGAAGATCGTATTATCCTCTCAATTTCTCGCACGTTTGGTCGCTGGGATTTGGATAGCTCCTCCGAGTAATCCCACCAGTTAATAGCAAGGATGTAAACAGCAGCGAGCAGCGGCGGTGAGAAGTCCCGGTAGTTTCGATCGTATTTCTCGTAGAAGACGTTCTTCTGGACGATGGGAAATGCGGGATGTACAACTTCGAAATAAAGATCAATCAACTTGCGGCCGTAGGGAGTCACAAGTCGCTGGAGTTCGTCGATATCGTCGTATTGACGCTCGTGACCAGGGGTCGCACTATCAGGCAACATCAAAAAGATGTCATTATCGCTAACTTTCCTAAGAGTACCTCGAGCGAGAAGGCTCTCATCTTGAGGGTCGAATGGAGAGAGGTTGATCAAGGACGGCTCAAAGTCAGTGGTCGGACCTATGTACTGGCTGTACCGGTCTTCCTGGAGACCGAGCGTGCGCTTGAGTAAAGTTGGACCGCCAAAATTAGCCATCTCCTCGATTAAGGAAGTGCTTGCAGTTGTACTTGACAAGCTAGCTTGACGTTGCCGCAGTCTTCTGTTATCAGACCTGCGAGGCGAGCTACATTGGCCAATCGTATGTCAGCGATTTTTTTTTTCTCTCCTTTGCGTCGGTTGACCATGCTGCAAGGTGATAACGTAAGGTTGGGGGTTCAGCGAATGAAAGTATCGGTGAGTACTCACCCTCTCTTCCCGTTGCTCTCTTCGTTCGAGTCACGCGCTAGCTTTCTTTTGCGAGGCTGAGGGCTCTGATTTAAAGAACATGGGATCCCCCGGACTTGGCAAGATGCGCAGCTATCGTCGTCATCTCCAACAACGCACTTGAGTCGCCTTCTTAGACAAGATTCACAAGGCGTTGAGTTTGCACTTACAGCAGAATCCGAATCGGTTGAATCATTACTGTTCATACTATTCAGAGATACGTCGTTGATAGGATGGCGACTAGAAAAGAGCTGAGAAGGTTTAGGCGCAATGGCAATGGGAGCCGTCCTAGGAACAGTGCCAAGGTTGGACATGACTGAAAATATTAGGCGGGTTACACACAACGCCGCTATCTGCTCCTTTGAGGTCGGCCTCGCCGTATCACTATCGGGGCCCGTCTAGATGCCCAATGACGGTGAGTGAGAGAGGGGAGGGGATGCTAGGGATGCTAGGGTAGCTGAGTACCTAGACAGTCCGTGGTAGCTTCTAAAGAGACAGGGTCTGCTGCCACAGTACGACCTCGAATCGTAGCAAGTAACGCTGATCTCTGCAGACGGCTCTCCACTGCCTCCAGGAAAGCCTCTTAAGGTATGTGTGATAAGGGATAAGGGAGGGTGTTAGGGAGATAAGGCTGTTAGTGGCACGGGAGGCGTCAAGGCGACGCAGCTTAAACCCACGCGAGTTCCCGCGTGCTTCAGCAGTCCAATCCAGTCTGGTGGGATCTGCTTTATCGAAATGAGAGGCCGGGGAAATCAGAGATACCTTAAGGCTGGGACCTATCGGTTTCTAGTAAATAACGTTCGATACAGTCGCATGCAGACCCGAATGGCGCATGCACCTCGTGATTCTTCCGGTTAAGGGACGGGGGGTCTAGAATCTAGGAAAGTCGCCGTACGATAGGCTAGATTGACGATATGATGATATGATTGCTCCGGGTGCCGACGCTGTGTGATACTAGGTAATGATGGACGCAAGTATTAAATAAGCTTGGCTTACTTTCGTCATTGAAGAACCCTTCAAGGTGAGCTGATATTGGGGGGAAGGTTATCTACAAGAGGTCATATAAACATGGACCATGGACCGTAGACCGTGGACCATGTAAATGCCGGCCGGGTAAGATGCAGTGAAGTTCAGACTAGGTAGGTGGATTTTGAAGGCGGGTCGGACAACGTTAGTTAAAGAAGATGGCCTTGCAAGTTGCAGCTAGCCTTGTCATTGGGAATTGGATATTTCTTCTTTCTTGATCCCAGTCCTTATTCCCAAGAAGAGAAGACCGATCGAAGTCGCGTGCCTTTTTGACGTTTACCGCCAAACTTGGTACACCCAATCGTACAGAAATGGTACACCTAACGTAAGCTGTAGAGAATTATCCGTAGTCTGTAGTCCGTTTAGTGGTGTTATTCCATTTGGACTTGTGGACTTGTGGTTTGGATTATGGTTCAGGGAAAGCAAATGACTTGTCATTAGGCTTGGGAACAAAAACAAACGGGCGAATTATAATGGAGTAATTGATAACCCAGAGATAATCTTATCTTTGATGGAATGACAGAAAATAAATTGTAATAATGAGAGTTTCGGGAAAAGCTTCCATGAAGTTAGATCAGAGCCATGCACCCTACCCGTGCTAGCTTGTGCAAGGTAAACGGTACTTGGAAGGCACTTAAATGCAAGAGGGACAGCCTCAATTAAGACGAGGCGGTGGCTTACCTAGGTGGTAGCGCAACTGCAGCGATACTAAGCAAGTAAGGAGCTGCGGTATGACAAAGTGCACATGGGACACATGGGATCGGAGCCCCGCGTACCTTCTCTGTATAGGGTACTTATGCACACTGATCTAATCTATGCTTTTAGGTTTTTTTTTTAAAAAAAAAGGTACTATGTAAATTAAGGGAATTTCAGTGGCAGGCCAAAGCCTGTTCGGATTCACTACTATTACCAAATAGAAAAGATGTCTTTGGTGGAATACGGGCTAGCTGTCCGAATATATTTAACGTAATCGTTCGACTTATCCCGAGTCATTACAGGGTTCTTTGGGTGAGAAGGACAACAGACAAGTGGGACAATATGGGAATATGGGAATTGGCAATTGTCAATGGGTAACTTTTTCTTAAATTTCGGCCATAGCCAGAGTGCCATGTACGCAATGTACGTGCTACAGCTCAAAACTCCGTCCCGATCGGAGACCGCATCCGCGTATTTATCTTTTATTACAAATCAGTCGCCGACATTATAGAGTTATATAAAAAAGTATATCGCTTATCTCCTACACCTATATTAAGTGTAGTCGTATAAGAGATCCGGTGGCGGGGTAAGAGACTGTTATTATTAAGAATTATCATGAAAAAACAAGTACATGATTTTTTACCAAACAAAACAAGCAAATAACCTCGATATTTCTTTTCTCTTAACGTTATGATTTTAGTAAATTATATATACGGCATCGAATAATAATAAACCTCTTAAGCCTATACGCAGCCAAGACTTACATGCGTATCTTGTCTTTTTTTTCTTTCCCACTCATCACGAGCTTCTATCGGCTGCAAGTCAGCAAGCATTCGCTTCCGGAGGATTCGGTTGCATTATCGGAAGAGCCAATAAACCTAGTGCTAGCGTCTTACAGGCATGAATGAATTATGTCACCGTCTTGGACCTAATAGGGCATGGCGTTTTTTTAGGACGTCACCGCATCGTCGGTAAAAGAGTAAAAGTGAGGGAGAAGAGGTAGAAGAGGTAGAAAAAAAAAAGAATAATATCCCTAGCGTCCTTAAACAAACTGATCTACCTTCACAGCCCCTGTACTTATCCCCCACGATCCACTATCAACCACCATCTTTATTTATCTCCCGCCTATGATCTTTCTCCCCGCGTGTCAACCCAGTTCTAACCCAGTTCTAACCCGGCAGAAAGGCGTCAAAAAAGCTGACACACCTTTACTAACAATTATCCTGGTAGGTACGCCACCTTTTTTGACGTCCTCTGGTCCTTCTGCCCGGTCTGACCAGCATGCGATCCCGCTTGTGGCTTGCGAAGGCCGGTGCAGATTTGCTTTTTAACCTATGTACATAGGTATCTGTGAGATGTACCTTAGTACATCTCAACACGTGACTGCTTGTCACGTGTCATTCAGACATTCAGATTCATCTTGAGTGTTTGTAAAAAAAAAATAATAATGTTTCATTTTATTAGTTAGTTCAATAGATCAATTTATCTAACAGTATCCCCCCTGCCGCGGGGCTCCTACTACTGTACGGCTCTGTGCTGTCTCGTGATGCGCTGTTACTACATATGTACGACGTACGTCGTGGTGAATACATGTATGTAAAGAGTTTTTTTTCCTTGACCCATGCCCGCAGAGCCTCTTGGCACTCAGGTACTGACGCCGGTGGGGAATCGGAAAAGCCTCAAGCCTACCTAATTATTTTTATTTGGTATGCTGGTATGATGGCATGATGGCACGTCGAATTAAGACGAATTAATAAAGAGGCTCACATGTGCAACGATGCCACAACTACCACAACTACCACAACTACCACAACTACCACAACTACCACAACTACCACAACTACCACAACTACCACAACTACCACAACTACCACAACTACCACAA